CAAGGAGAGGAGAGGGAGGGGGAGCAGGCGCCTGAGGAAGATAAGAGACGGGAGGAGCCGGAAGGAAGCGAGACGCAGAGAGGAAGGAGAGAGACGAGAGAGATGACGAGAGAGAGAGAAGAAGAGAGAAGAGAGAGAAGAGAGTGAGAGAGTGTGTGTGGATTGGCATGTGTTGGTTGTGTGTCGTGTGCTGTGTTGTGTTGTGAGGGAGTGTGTGAGATGTGTGAGCGGAGTGTTGTTTGTGCGTGTGTTGAGCGAGTTGTGTGTGTCGTGTGAGCGAGTGTGGTGTTGGGCGAGAGAGAGAAGAGAGAGAGAGAGAGAGAGGATAGAGAGAGAGAGAGAGAGAGAGGAGAGACGGAGGAGAGAGAAGAGAGAGAGAGAGAGAAGATGAGAGAGAGAGCTGTATGTGTGGTGCTGTGTGTGTTGTGTGTGCTTGTGTGTGTGTGTGGTGTGTGTGTGTGTGTGTGTGTGTGTTGCACGTCGCCTATGCAATGTGCCGTGCATGTACACAAGCACACCTCCACCTAAAGAAACATCCCGAAAGCATCACTCGCGCAGGGCTATCAGCGCCAGGAGCCCTCCACCACGCCCCGATGCCGACGACCCCGCCCCCCCGCCCCCCCCCCCAACGCACCCCAAACCACGCTCCCGCATACTCACTAATACATCTTGAAATAGGCCGACCGGTTGGAGCAGATCGTGTCGTCCCAGGACATGTAGTCATCGCCGCCGGCTTCTTCATCGCGCTCGGAGTCCGACGAGGAGGACGAGGACGAGGAAGACGACTCGAAGTCACTGGACGAGGCGAGGTCAAGCACAGGGGCGGTGCGAGGTCAGGTCAGGAGGCCATGCAAAGGATTGGGGAGAGAAGGGGTGAAAGCAGATTAATAACGGGTACACATAAGCAAAAAAAGGAAAAAAATCAAAAGTAAAAAAATAATAATAACGTAAAAAAAGTGCTTTTGGGATTTTAATTGGTGAAGTAGGATGGATTCAGAATGGTGATTAATTTGCAAAGGTTAAATCAAACTGCACAAAAGGAGACAAAAAAGGAAAAAAGAACATACAAAAAGAGAAGTGTCAATCACAAACAAGGAAAATATTCAGGGAAGGTTCCAGATCATGGGAAACATTCATCTGTGTCGTCTGTTGCCCCCCCCCCCTTCCCTCTCTTCTCTCTTTCTCTTCCCCTCTCTCTCTCTTTCTCCCCCCCTCTCACTCTCTCACCTCTTTTTCTCTTTCTCTCTCTCTCTCTCTCTCTCTCTCTCTCTCTCTCTCTCTCTCGCTCTCCTCTCTCTCTCTCTCACTCTCTCCATCTCTCACTCTCTCCTCCTCTCATCTCTCCTTATCCTCTCACTCTCTCCTACTCCTCTCCTATCCTCTCTCTCTCATATCCTCTCACTCTCTCCTATCCTCTCCACTCCTCTATCCTCTCACTCTCTCCTATCCGTCTCACTCTCTCCTATCCTCTCACTCTCTCCTCCTCTCACTCTCTCCTACTCCTCCTCCTCTCTCCTATCCTCTCACTCTCTCTCCTATCCTCTCACCTTCACGCTCTCTCTCTCTCTCTCTAACTCCATCTCCCATTCTCTCTCTCTCTCACTCCCTCTATCTCTCTCTCTCAAACTCCCTCTCCCATTCTCTCTCTCTCTCTCTCTCCTCAGACTATCGCATTACACTCTCTCTCTCTAATCCCGCTCTCTCTCTTGGTCTGCTCTTTCTCCCGCTCCCCCCTCTCCTCTCTCTCACTCCTCCCTCTCTCTCTCTCTCTCCCTTTCCCCCCTCCCCTCTAACTCATCTCCCATTCTCTCTCTCTCTCTAACTCCGCTCGTCTTCTCGCTCGTCCCTCTTCCCCCTCTCTTCCTCTCCCCTGCTCATCTCTTCCCTCTTATCTCTCTCTCTCCTCTCACTCCCTCTCCTCTCTTTATGCTCTCTCTCTCTCTCTCTCTCTCTTCTCTCTCTCTCTCTCTCTCCCTTCTATCTCTCCTCTCTCCCTTCTCTTTCTCTCTCTCTCTCCCTTCTCTTTCTCTCTCTCTCTCCCTTCTCTTTCTCTCTCTCTCTCCTTCTCTTCTCTCTCTCTCTCCACTTCTCTTTCTCTCTCTCTCTCCCTTCTCTTTCTCTCTCCTCTCTCCCTTCTCTTTCTCTCTCTCTCTCCCTTCTTCTTTCCTCTCTCTCTTCCTCTCCCTTCCTTCTCTCTTCTCTCCTCTCTCTCTTCTCTCTCTCTCTCTCTCTCTCTCTCTCTCTCTCTCTCTCTCTCTCTCTCTCTCTCCCTTCTCTCTCTCTCCCTTCTCTCTCTCTCTCTCTCTCTCTCTCTCTCTCTCTCTCTCTCTCTCTCTCTTCTCTCTCTCTCTCTCTCTCTCTCTGCTGCACCCCCTCTCTCTCTCTCTCTCTCTACAGAATTTGCAAATGAAACCAGCAACAGAGACGCAAGGAAAATTCCACTTGCTCAGTCCAAAGCACTCTATAACGGAATCTGAATGCTAATTGTTTTAAACCCGGTTCCATGACAGCCTCTGAGCCTTACGCTGGTCTTGTGCTTTTCACAGACGCTGCTAGGATGCAAGTCTGTTCTAAATAAACAGTCAAAAGAAGGTAAACAAGGGAGTAAAACGGTTTTATATTGGATATGAATAAAGTGCATTGTCACTTCAGGTCGAAGCGAGCGATGTGACACAGAAAACGGGCCGAAGCTGTATAAATTTGAGGGCAGACTTCGGTATTTTGAAAGGCCTTCCACTCCCACCACATACGGGCCGGGAAACCATAGTAGAACGAATGAGTATGAATCACCGTGCAAACTTCAAGCCGAATATAATCCTCGGGGGAAACGAAAATAATATCTAAAACCCTTAAACAATGCATTTTCTAAGCACACGAAAGGGAGAATTCACTCGCACTTTCAGCTGCTGACTTGGCAAGCACCTGGCTTTCTTGACACGTACAAAAAACACGTGATTTGGATTACCCAGATGGTTTAACTAGAGAAGTTGTCTGTATAGTTACTCGCCACTCTCTACCCCCTCGGTCTGTCTCTATTTGTCTGTCTCTGTCTGTGTGTGTGTGTGTCTCTCTCTTTATTGTCATTTTTTTCTCTCTCTCTCGTTCTATATTTATTTCAAATAAGTCTCTCTCTCTCTCTTCTCTCTCTCTTTCTCTCTCTCTTCTCTTCTCTTCTCTCTCTCTCTCTTCGCAACTTCCTTATCTTTTGAGGTTGTGATATCTGAGGACGCGGTACTCGAGTAGGGAAAATATAAATGAAAAAAAAAAACAATTGTTTACTTTTGAATGTATACTT